TCCCACTTACTCCTAGCAACTGTTATTATCCCCATTCTATAGATGAAGAAATTGAGGCCCGTGGAGGCTTGAGGGAGACACAGAAATATCCAAGATCATATATTGAATACATAATGGCACCAGATTTTAAAACCAAAGCCTATGCCTTTTGCTGCTGTGCTAATAATGTAGTGAACATTGAGCTGCCTTATTCTCACTTGGGTCAGACCTGCAGTGAGGAGCATCAGCTTGGAAAAAATCAATTCCAAAACTACTCAGTGGACTAGTCACACTAATTGCTTAAATAGCAATACAGCAGGAGTTCTCTAGTATATTTAAGGACGTTAAGAAAAATTAAGTATTTTAATATATATATATATATGTGTATATATATATGTGTATATATATGTAATCTTAATACAACCACATTCAGAAAAACTGAAATGTACTGGAAAGAAAAGATCACCTGCATTTATTTCACCCATAGTCTACCAATTACTTTGGACATTTTTGTGTTTCTCTTTACTATTTTTAAATTCATCTATTTTTACTTAGTAAGCAAAATATCACTTGTGATCATGAAAAACATGTAGACTTTTCATTTCCATAAACATTGATCACTAATTTTTTCCCTCTCTACTCTGATATTAGAAAATGGTCAACATAAATGTGTACTGAGAACCCAGAGCATAGCGTGGCCTAGAGGCCAATGTGTAAACCATTGTTCTGCATGGGAGAGGAATGTGTACTGTGCAGTGCAAAGCCTGAAGGAAGAACAAATAATGCTCTTACCTTGGTGAAAGAGTTCACTAAGACATGAACTTTGAACTGAATTTTTTAAGATGGATAGGACATCACAGAGGATGGGGGCAGGGATTCTTATAAAAGTTGGAGTGCACAGAGTAACTTGGCTGAATGTGGGCAGTTGAACCAGAAGACCAGAGGCTGACAGGTGGGCAGAGGCTAGATGGTGTGGCTCTAGATTGCTGTGTAAGGGAGGTTAGACTATGTTAAAGTCAACAGATAATGGCTTTTTGAGCACCCGAGTTCTCATTACAAAGAGTTGATGGCATATGGAGAATAGATTGCATCTGACATGAGCTGAGTCCAGAGAATGTATTAAGGAGATACGGGTAGTTATGAAGAGAAATCTGCTATGTCGTTTGGCAAATTTACATCTTTGGCATACAAATTATAAGAAGGTGAGATGCAGTTAGTAACTTTTAGAGGTATCATGGATAGTATCCATGATGATTTCTAAGGGTGCCATGCATGGTTGTGCATGTTGCTTGCAGCACAGTAAGTATCTGGCCAAAAATTGAGGTTGACATCTTGACGCAGTTCTACTTGCCAAGCTGTGAACCTTGGCATGGACTACCTCTACCCAGAGGAGATTCCCTTTTCTAAATTACACAAAGCCAACATGGCCAGTAACCCCACTACTTCTTACCCTTTCCCAGGGTAAGGCCTGCTTTCTTTGGTTATAATAAGCAAGGAGGTAAAGTATCAAGACCCTAAGGCATAGCAAGCTGTCAAAGTCTCTGCTAGTCTACTAGACAGTGGTGAGCAACACTTAGCTAGTACTTGCTCTGCTTTTCAGCCTTCCCCAAATGTGGTAATTGCTACCATTCGGAGACGCCCAGGACCCTGAAGCAGAGCCTAATTCCGTCCTGAGCACAAATGAGTGGCTGCCTTTAAAGGGCATCATAATCTTGTTATCATAGCCCGGTTTTCTCACTCAAGGCTAATTTGGTAGTCAAGCTTACATTAGTACATGATATAGAAGAAGCATAATTCCTAGAGGCCAACAGACTTATCTAAGAAATTTTGTAGTATTCCATTTTTATCTCTGGGGTAATATGTGCTATTTGGCTTTGGGGGAAAAGCACACACAGAAATCCTGACATGATTTAAGCAAGAACAACTTAAATGGTAGTCACCTTTGCTAATCCCATTGTTTTTCCACAGAAGCAGTAGTTGTTCTTTTAATCTCTCTGCAAACATTAGGGTTTCAAGTCTAAATGTGATATTTGGCCAGTAGTCTTCTAGAATGAACCCTCATAGTTTTTGTCCTAATACTTCTTGGTAGAGAGGTATCTTCTTGTTTAAGTCCTCATACAAATGGTTCAGTAATTTAAATTTTGTTTCTCTTGGAAGTAAAATGGGCAAGTGTTTGCCTTTAGAGCAGGGATTGGCAAATGATAGCCTGCAGGCCAAATCAGGCCTGTGAGTGAAGAATTTCTACATTTTTAAATAGTTGGGGAGAAAATGTCGAAAGAAAACAATATTTTGTATCACATGAAATTTAAATTTCAGTACCCTCAATAACTTCAGTGAAACGGTCATGCTCATTCACTTGGATATCATCAGTGGTTGCTCTCCTGCTTCAACTGCAGTGTTGAGTTATTGCAATAGAAGCCATGTGGTCTGCTTGAAATATTCACTACCTGGCCCTCTATGGACAAAGTCTTCTGACCTCTACTCTAGAGAAACAGTTTAAAGGCATACAGGATTGATACATCCAGAAGTTTATCTAATGTTGTCTTCTTTGAAAAACAAAACAAAACAAAACCCTACAACTTGCCAGGGGTGGTGGCGATGCTATAATTTTAGCTACTCGGGGAGATTGGGAGAATTGAGGTTTGAAGCCAAATGGGAAAAAAGTGAGACTCCATCTCAAAAAAATAAACAGAGAGTGGTGACAATACAGCTACAGGGAGGCATAGGTAGGAAGATCATGGTCCAAGACCAGCCTCAGACAAAAACATGAGACCTTATCCAACAAGTAACTAAAGCAAAAAGGGCTTGGGGGCATGGCTCAAGGCTCAAGTGTTAAAGCCTAGCAAGTATAAGTCCCTGAATTCAAATCCAAATAACCCCTACAATTTTATTGAGATATAATTGACATGTATCAAACTGTGCACATTTCAAGTATATAATTTGATAAATTTTGATCTAGATAAATACTCATGAAGCTTTTATTGTAATCAAGATAGTGAATGTATCCATTGTCCTCAGAAATTTCCTTCTGCTTCTTTGAAATTCCTTCCTTTTTTCCCTTCCTGTCCCACATTGTCCCCAACAAACACTGATTAGTTTGTATTTTCTAAAAATAAAATCTATGGAAGGTACTCTTTTTTTAATCTTAATTTTACTCAGCAAAATTATATTTTGAAACTTATCCATGTTGTATGTATCAATAGTATTCCCTTTTTAAAAAAAACTGAGTAGCATTTCATTGTAAGGGTATGTTACATTAGTTCATTACCTCATCATGGGCATTTTTTTCTGTTTCTGATTATTGCAAATAAATATATGAACTTTTGTGTACTAGTCTTTGCATGGACATAAGCTTTCTTGTTTCTTGAGTAAATGCTTAGGGATGAAATGGTTTCATTATAAGGCAGGTAGGTATGAACTTTTTAAGAAACTTTCAGAGGGTTTTTTTATTTTTTGGCAGCATTGGGGTTTGAATTCAGGGCCTTGGACTTGCAAGGCAGGTGCTCTTTTTAAAATTTTATTTTTATTGTTGTGCTGACTGGGGGTACATTGTGCCTTTTACAAATGTTCTTACAATATATCAACTATGTTATACTTGAATTCACCCCCTCTACCATTCTCCTTTATCTTTCCCTCCCCCTATGGGAGAAATAGTTTCAATAGGTATCTTTTTTCCACTTTTCCTTTTACATTCATGTGTATACAGTAATTAGGCAGAGGCTCTTATTGCTTGAGCTACTTCATCAGCTTCAAATTGGTTGTACCACATAACATTCCCACCAGCAACATCTTAGAGTACCAGATCTTTCATAGGAGTCAGTATTTGCTGTTACCTAACAGTGTCTGTACTGTCTGTTTGTATGAAGTATGAAGAGTTCGTAATAATCTAATTAATTTAGGCTTGGTGGACAGCAAAAAAACTGACTCAGTTTTAGCAACCTACTTGGGGTCAGAATGACCTAAAAAAGTGATTGAAAACCTGGAATTATTACCATAGACTCCCCTCTCATCAATTTGGTTATGATCTTGACTTTTTACACCGCAGAGGGCACCTGTCACTGTGTAATTGGAAGTGTCGATAAGGTATGTGACCCCAGCCCCTCACTCTGTGCTGAGACACTATAAGTTTCTACCATGTGAACAAATCAAAGGAAAACTTGTAAAAAGTTTGTTAAAAAAAAAAAACAAAGAGTCAGGGCACTATCACTAAGACTCTGAACCAGAGGTCTGGACCACAGCCTAGGAACCTGCATGTTTTTAAGCATAAATTGTACAAAGGGGTTTCATTGTGATATTTCCATATGTACATATAATGTGCTTTGATCAAATTCTCTTTCTTCATTACTCTTTCTGCTCTCCCCCCTCCCTTTTTTTTTTTTTTTACAATTTTTAAGGGATTATTCTGTTTTCATAATACATATAGTGGGAACCTACATTTTTAAGAGGCACTGTAATCAAGTCTGTCATACATGCTTTGCTCCACCCCAGTGTTACAATTTTGGGATGACTTAGGTTCGGTGTGATGGAATTAGCTTTATTTGAGTATAACATACTGACTTCACGTGAGGTCTTTGGTTAGTAGCCTAGTTGGTATAAGTTTCCTCATGACTCATCTTTACTTATTTATAGTTTTTGGTAACTTATACATTATAGCTAGACTGACCACTACCAGGACCATTTCAACCATTTCAAGCCCTTTCTCTTCCCCTCCTTCTCCTGCAGGGTCTTTCTTTTTTTTCTTTTTCTGTTTTCCTTCAATAAGCCTGAGTCCAGAGTCCATGATTGAATCTATGGGACTAAGCTGATACCTTAATGTAAAGTAGATTTTTTGTTTTTGTTTTTTTTTGTTGCTTTTTTTTCTTCTAGAGTAGCCATTTATTGTGTTAAACAGTTCATATGCCTCTGTCATTCACTTGGACAGGCACTATCATGTATAAGGTTGGAATATTCTTTTCTGTTCATGATACAGTGAAATTTAAATATAATGTTGTTTTCTCTTTTTAAAAACACACCCTGTTTAGAACTATTTTGGTGGAAAACTCTCTGCTCAAGGGAAAATGCCTTGGATTGAATATAATAATGAAAAAGTTTCTGGCACAGAATTTATAATTGATTTTCTGGAAGAGAAACTTGGAGTGAATTTAAACAAAAACCTTGGCCCTCATGAAAGAGCCGTGTCCCGAGCAGTGACCAAGATGGTGGAGGAGCACTTCTACTGGTGAGTCCCCACGATGTGTCCCCCTCCTTTCAGAGTAAGCCCAAGTTTTATATCATCTTTAAGGTACTCCTCCCACCTCCTCATAAGTTTCCCGTTAACAGTTTGGGATGAGAAATCTGACTGACTTAGGGTTAAAGTTACGATTGTGGTTCCTAGGTATCTAGATTAGTGGTTAAAGGTATTTCCTGTAGATGTCCAGCTAGTTAATATTTTTGTAGATACCTGTCACAACTACTTAACTCTGCCATTTTATCACTAAAGCAGCCATAGACAGTGGGTCAGTGAATAAGCATGACTATGGTTTGTTAAAACTTTATTATGGGCATTGAAATATGAACTTCACTTAATATAACATAGCCTTTTGATTTCTTTCCAACTGTTTAAATATGTAAAACCGTCACAAGCCTGTGCCCTGCGGTTTGCTGGCCCTTGATCTACACTGGAACTCAACAAGGTTGGGCTTGGGACTCTTCACTAATGCAAACTGTGAGGAGGGAATGACAAACTAAATCAAGATAGAATTCCTAGGTGAAATAAGCTGCACAACCTTTATGAAATTACTGTCAGTTTTCCTTAGGTAATAAGACATCTCTGTGTTCTAGAGTAAAGCGTACATGTCTACAGCTTCTCTGTTCTGATTTTCTACCACTTAGTTTGTATTCCCCATGTGTGAAACATCACACAAGTTGCCCTGTTCTGCTTGCCATGGCCTTGAACTGGCTGCCCTTCCATGTGAGTGAAACATGTCTGGATCTTCTTACTTTGTGAACTCATTGCTGTCTCTCTCTTCCATTCATTTGCTGACATGTTGCCCTTTTCTCTACATCCCTATAAATGAGAGAAAGTTTATCCCTGAGTTCTAAAGTTTGTCTTGTCCCAAAGATTTAATTAAGAATTGTTAAGTCTACTTTTTTCACATTCATTGTTACTTCCGGACCAGATGCTGTCCTTGCAGCTTTTACTGAGAGATACCCTCTGTGTGGGGCTAATTGTAGAAGATTCTTTCTCCTCATCTCCCTAATTCATCCACTCTGCTTTCTTTCTAAATGGAAAACTTCCATTTCTGTTTGAGATTTTAAGTAAGATTTTAAGATTTTTCTCTTCCTACTTTGGGTTCTTGCTCAGTTTATCCTAAGTCTGACTTGCACTCCACTTCCTCTTGCCCCTCATTGTGGAGATGAAGGAGTACTGAGGTAGAAGGGACCTCAGGCAAGGGTGGAAACAGTGCGTACAAATCAGTGTGGAAGAGATCAGACTGTTCGGAAGGAACCTGGCTGTTTTCCATATAACACTGATGAACTGCTGGGGCTCTGCTTTCTGTGCAGACCAAAATGCATGACTGCCTATGACTTTCTTGGCTTCAGGGAAAAAGCTAAGGGACAGAGCCCATCTCACTTGATAGCCAAGTTCCAGACCCAACTCTGCAGTGATAGAGGGAAATAGAGAGCCCATACAGGGTCACGCTGACTCTCATACCTTCTTTTGACAGATAGGCATTGTAAGTTTCCTGAGAAGCTGAAGGTCCTACATTTTAGTTGGTACTTTGGCTAGAACTTCTAGATTTCTGTACTGGCTCAGAAAATGTATATTTTGGATAGAAAATTTCTGATTCAGCAGAATTCCCAGCTTCCTCATGTCAGTTTGCTGGGGATGCATGCACCACTTTATGTGACTTTACTCCCCGGTACAAAGTTCACAGACTGCATCCCCACTCCATCTTTTTGTTCACCAGCCCTCAGCTAGTGAGGGAAGGCAAGCTTGGATGTGAATGGAGAGAAGGAAGCAGCAGGTGTACCTTGATATGGAAGGATCTTTTTTAGTGGTGGTTGGAGAGTTTTGGGGTTTGAATTTAGGGCTTTGTTCTTGTTAGGCACACTCTCTATCACTTGAGCCATGCCCCAGCCCAGGGAACCATCTTAATTTTATGGATCATAAACTTCCAAGTGCTTGATTTGCTTGGGTTATATATAGACTCCTCTAAGGATAATTTTATTTCTTGATTCACTTTTTAATTAGAAAAATACTTTTTGGGGGTTGGCTTTTGTAGTGGACATAGGAAGAAAGCTCTTGATGGAGATTCAGATATCCAGTCAACTTTCAAAATAGCATTTCTAATTCCTCCAATTCCCTTTTCTCTTTACTAGAAGGAGAAAACCAAACCTTTCTCTGTTTCTTAAAGTTCCCAAGCCTTTAGCTAACACCTTGCTTTGGGGAGACCCTGAAGAGACTTTTCTGAGAACTCTAAGTACCAATTCAGAAAAGAACCACTCCCCCACCTCCACAAGAAAGTGCCTCAGGCAGAGAGTCCCCGGGCATTCTTCCCTCAGGCCCCTCTCTTACTCCCTATCGGCCCCTTTCTTACTCCCCACCTCCATTCTGGTCCAGGAGACCACACGCTTTTATGGAAGTCAGGCCTGACACCTCTGTGATCTTAATATGAGAGAGAATTAGTTTTCTGTGAGATCGTGTTACATTTTACAAACGTTGGATGTCTGGACTGTGTGTGTCTGTACTCACAGAGGTGAGGAGGAAGTTCAGTAAACCCACTGTTTACCTCAATTGTTTAATGATCTGGAGATTTTAGATATATTTTATTTTGACCCAAAATCTTAAAAATACTTCAGGTATATTTTTCTGAAAAGGCAAGAGCGATGTAAAGCTGCCATTATTATGTAATGTCATAATTTTGAAACTGTTCTAGGTCTGTTCAAATAAGCACACTCAGCTATAAAGTAGTTTTCTTGCATTTGAAATCTATACTCCTTACAGTACAGTCCCACTGTACCGTAAAAGCTGTAATTGAAGACAAAGAGGACTTTTTTCTTAACTCCTTTGTTCTGCTGAATGCTTAAGTTAGGTCCAATGCAGGGGAGCTGGTATAAAGCGATGTCTAAGAGGCAGGGGATCAAATTACTGGAATGAAATTGATTTTGGGTAATATTCTACAGCTTCTTTGGTGGCACGTGCTGCTTCCTTGTAGACACTGGTGAATGCCTTAAGATATCTCAACCCCATTGAGAAGTGTGCAGAGTGTCACTGGTTACACTATCTAGTCATAACATTTTCATCCATAAAAACATAGGCTTTAGAACAGTGAATTCAAATTTGCTTCTTGGTTGGCCATTATTTTAAAATTTTGACCTGGCATTTTTCTTTTGGTGCTGGGGACTGAACCTAAAACCTTGCACATACTAGGTAAGTGCTCTAGCAGTGAGCCACATCTCCAGCCTGAGCTTGACTTTTGATACAGTTTCATGACTGAAGGTAACAGGGTGCTCTCAGAGATGGTTTATCCAAGGAGATCTGTTTTAAAAGCCAGGACATATGCTCTGATTCCAACTCAATTGATGTGTTCTCATTCTTTTTCCTACCCAGTTTTAGCTATAGTCAGGCTCTGTTTGGAAGAACTAGTCTAAGGTTTGTGAAACTTGGTGAAATTACAGAAACACATCTTATATTCCTATATCCTCTAGCAGAGAAAGGCACCCACATGGAGAAAGGCATTCTTATGAGTTGGAAGACCTTATTCTGACACTCAGTAGCTTCCATGGTTTGCAGTTTTCCATATATAAATATTTGTTCTACCATAGGCCTTGCATCATGTCAGGTTATACTAAGAGATATCTTTAGGTCTCAGATATAGCTAGCAAGTACAAGGCCCTAAAATTGACTGCCTAATACAGCAAAACAAAAACTAACAAATAAACAACAACAACCAAAAGCCAGCACAAACCAGAGTTCTCTTCATTAGAACACTGGGGACAGCATTTCTTTGCCTGTTTTCTTGGTCTTTAAAATGTTTGAGCAAGCTTTATTCTTCTGTTCTAAAATAATTTAAAAAATTCCTTGACCCCATTTTTGCAGAAGAGATTAGATGTATTATTGTGATAAGGAAAATGATTGTCTCAAATTCCTGAAATAGGTTCTCAGATGATAAATTACTTTAATTGCTTAGCTTAGTCCACTTTCCAAAATGGCCTTTCATGCCCTGTCCAGTTAATAATTCATGATTCCCTGTGCAGTGGGCTTCCTCCCTGTGGAGAAGGAGGAGCCATAAAGCCCCGAAGAGAAGAGTGACAGCCCTTTCTTCATCCTTCCTAGCACTTCTCTCTCCATTTTTCTACTTAAGTATGTCATCCATTAGAAACACTACTTAGCAGTAGTTGACTCAGATCAGAGAAAAGCTGTTTTTTTTTCATTAAATCGATAATTCATTTTTCAGCAAAGGAAATGAATGACCATCAGTAGCCAGGCACTGTGTCCCTATCCTCAAGTGCCTTACAGGCTGAAGGAAGACATGAAATCTTATTATGGTCATTGCTGGGGACAGTATGACAGATCAGCTTTTTTGGGGTGGTACTGGGGTTTGAATGTAGGACCTTGTGCTTACTAGGCAAGCATTTGAGCTATGCACCCAACCCTGAGGGGAGAATGTAAAGAATAGAGGGAAGGCAGCAAGTACCTGCTGGAGAGATGAGGGAAGGCGTCCCAAAGGAGGCAGTCTAGGGACAAGTGGAGTAGCTATTGAAGGAGCTGATGGCAAGGAAGATTAGGATGTCCAGGCAGAGTAGGCAGCATCTGCAAAAGTTTAGTGGAAAAGAGGAGGTGTTTGGGAAGTGTCTTAGTCTATCCAGGCTACCACAACAGAGTACCATAGACTGGATTTTTTTTTTTTTTTTGGTGGGACTGGGGTTTGAACTCAGGACTTAATGCTTGCAAAGCAGGCACTCTGCTGCTTGAGCCATACCTCCAATCCATGTTGCTGTGCTCATTTTAGAGACAGAGTCTCAAGAACTGTTTTCCCAGGCTGGCCTGGAACTGCAATTATCCATATCTCAGCCTCCCAAGTAACTAGGATTGTAGGCATGAGCCATCATCCCTGGCTGGTTGGGTGAATTATAAACAATTTATTTCTCACTGTTGTGGAGTCTTGGAAGTCCCAGGTCAAGGATCTGGCAGATTTGGTGTCTGGTAAGGGCCTCTTTCCTGGTTCACAGACAACCATCCTCGCACTGTAACCTCATATGGCAGAAGGAGTGAGGGAGCTCTCCGGGGTCCCATGAGCCTTCATGACTTAATCAACTGCAAAAGTCCCCACTTCTTAGTAGCATTACTTTGGGGATTAGGTTTCCTTGTAAGAAATTTTTGGGTACATGAACATTCAGTCTGCAGCAGAGAGGTGCCTGTAATTCTGTATGGTGGGTGCTTCAGGTGCATGGGAGGCAGTACAGAGAGATGGAGCCAGGAAAAGGCCAGACCATGCAGCGGTTAGACCACAGGAGTTTGAATGTCCAGTGATTCGTGAAGAATAACTCCTGGGATTCTGGCTGGGTAAAGAGAAGCAGGATTGAAGTAAGCAAAGATGATGAATCCAGTTTTGGAAATGTTGGTTTGCATTTCCTGAGGCTCTTCCATGTGGAATCCATGGATCTTATGACAGATGTCTGAGCTGGATATGGATTTGGGAAACAGTTTGAATTCTTGACTGTGAATTAGATTACCTCATGAATGTAGAGTAAGTAGGTAGGAGGATAAAAGAAAAAACAGATAAAAATCTTAAGAACATGTGAGAGGCAGGAGAAAAAGCTGTAGAGATGTAAGTGAAGGGAAAGTTCCAGGAAAGAGGCTGATAGTATCAGATGCTATATATAGAAAGATGGTGTATTTGGATGTATAAGAAGATGATTGCTGATGTGGATGAGACTGGTTTAAGTGGAATGATGAAGTGGATGGACAGAGTTTTCAGGAATCTTGGCTGTAGAAGGAGATGTATTCTTGGTTGTAATGTATGGGCACACACACAATGTGATGTCTTCCACCTGTTATAGTTGACTTAAGAGTCTGTAATGCTCCCATTTTCTTTGGTATTTAAAGTTGATATCCACTTCACTAAGCTTGATTCCTAAAAAACCTGCCTGATCCTTATTTGTCTCGACACAGGTTTGTAATATTGGACACAGGAAGTGAAAGAGAGGAAGAGAAATGAAGAGCTCAGCAGGGAAAAGGAAAGAGGAAGACCAGTTTGTGAGGTCATTTTTAGCTGAAAAATTCTGGCTCCACTGCAGCCAGAGAACTTCACAACTTTGCATTGATAGAATCTCCTTCCTACTGGGCTCCTCAACAGCAGCTGCCTTTCTGTCACCTGCTACTCTATCCATTGTTGTATTCTACATATGCTCTGACACACATTTCCTGCCATACGGAGGAAATAGAAGCAATCAGCCAGGAACTCTGTACCTATCTGTCCAGCTGCTCCTTTCTCTTCTCCTCCATCTCAAATAAAGAGATGTCCCTACTTCTTTCCAAGCTGTACCTTCCAGTCTGGTCTTCTCATCTTCTAACTTTCCTTTGAACTATGATTTCCCCAACACTGCTTCTCACTCTAGAAACTTCCTTAGGTGACCTCATCTTCTTTCAGAGGTTTAGAATTGCCATAAACATGCCCCTGCCCACCAGTTCTCCATCCAGAGGCTAACCCTGTCTCCTTAGTTCTCTGTTTTCTAAATGTCTTTGTCTGGGGGTTCCATGGAGCCTTCAAGTATAACAGGCTAACTCATCTTTCGTTGCCCAAATCTGTTCAACTTTGTGTAATTCTGTATTGATTAGCAGACTGTCCACCCAAATCATTAGCCTAGGAGAAGGTACCTAACTTTCTTTGTTGCCTTGGCCAATAGACTCTTTTCCTTGTGCCTCAGTATTTCTTCCATACACTTCCTATGTAGCATCTCTGCTATTGCCTGCATCAGTGGTCTTGTCATGATCTTCAAACCAGCCTTTCTACCAGCATTGCTACAAGTCTGGTTATGTACCTTGTCTGCTTAAAACCTTCCAATAGTTAATCTTTGGTTTTGGAATAAAATGATTCAACCAGGCCTCAGGCCTGTTGGGATCTAATCCTTGTAACCCTAAGTCTCATCTCTTACAAGTTTCCTCACATGCACCTCCTGGAGTTCTCACAGGTCGCACACAGCCCGTGTTCTTTGTGTATGCACCTTCTCTCTCTGCTCACCTGGTGGGCTTCTTCTCGTCCTTCAGTGGTGCTGATGATAGCACCTGTGTAAATGACTGCAGAGAATTTATTTTCTCTTCATATCAACCTGTCAGCTTAGAGCCACATGTTCCTCAGTTTTACATTTTAGACACTTCCTAGACTCTATTATTACTTGGTCATGCTCATTTTAGGGTATTTTAGTTTTATCTTCACCATTGGCTTCCCAAATCATCAGTTGTTATATAATTCTTTTATTGGGAATTTACACCTAGCACAATTAAAATCAAAGCACTGAATTATTCTAATTGAATTTGAAAATTTCTACCTGAATTATTATAGGTGTAAAAAGAGCAAGTAGAAAAGCTTTTAGTTTTATATGTTTATATGGAATTTATCAGAATCAATGTGAGATATCAAAAGATCCATCAAATGCTCTGACACACAAATTAGTCACCATTTTGCTAAAACTTTTCCCATTTTCAGCAAAATCTATTTCTTGACTCTGCAATACTTTATTTGGAGAGACTTAGAAAAAAAGAGTACAGAAAGCCGGGCATGGTATGTATGCCTGCAATCCCAGCACCCAAGAGGCTGATGCAGGAGGATTGTGAGTTCGAGGCCAGCCTAGACTTCATAGTGAGAACTTGTCTCAAGGAAAAAAAAAAAAAGCCTCACAAAGCTTTTAACAGAGCTTTGTAAAACTTTCTATCAAAGATTTTCTGTTGAAAAGGTAATGAGCATTACATATCGTTGTAGGATAAAGAGCATGTAAAACTCAGAAAGATTTAAAAATTTTAGAGAATCTATTTTGTTTATAGTTTCAATCTGTTAGAGGAGAGCACACTAAAAGAACAAAACTATATAAAATGATAAAAATTTGGGGGCTGAGATAGAACCCAGGACCTCACTAGTGCTCTACCATTGAACTACAACCCCAGTCCTTGTGTTTTTCTTAAGGTGGGAAATAACATTTCATTGAAACTATAATTTATTATCAACCCTCGTGTTTTCTCAGAAATCTTTTTCACATTTCTAATTTTTTTGAAATGGCCATTGCTGCTATATTAACCTATATTAGGAGTAGCTGTAACCATCAGTGCTTTTTTTTTCACTAGGAAAAATTAGAATATCTTTTACCTGTACTCTCACAGCTACATTCTCCTCAGTGGTAAATCCTTTAATTTCTATCTACTAACATTATTAGCCATAAACACGTTCCTGCAATTACACAAGTTCAGAAAACAAAATCAGCAAAGGTCTAGATATTGCATCCATCAGGACACATGATCAGCAAGTAGCTTTTTAACTGATCATATATGTTGCATAGGAGCACCAGGATGGGTGAATTTGCCAGAAGCACTACCCAGATGGGAAAAGTGATTCAGCCAAGTTCTTTTTGTACTTACATTAGAATCTTTGAAAACAAACTGAGGTAGAGAGCTGATTTTCAGGAGAATAATCATTTACACAATATTTACAGATTTTATAAGTCATAATAAACACAGACAGGTATACCTTCTTCCTAATCCTCTGCCCCAAAAGTTTCTTTTCTAAAAACCTTTCTTATATCATGACATATAAAGTATATACACAGAGTGTACTGAACTAAAATGTATAGCTTAATTAGCACAGAGCACATACCTGTAGAACCATCATTATACCTGAGAAGAGACCCATGCCAGATCCGTTTTTGCTTCTGCCTGCTGCCATGTACCCCACAGGCACTTGCCATCCTGACTAAAAGACTGCAAAGTGGGTTTCTCCTTGTTTTCTGTGGGGTTGCATAAGAGGAATCGGAAACATAGCCCTGAGAGGTAGGGGTTGGAGATGGAGCTGGAGTGGGTGGCAGGAGAGTTTTGGTAGAACTGGAACCTATGGCATTGTTACATGGATTTTTTTTTTAACAAACCATTTTTCTCAATACCCATGCATTTAAGCATCAACCATAGCCTATTGTAATATCTGCCATACATATTAAAAACTGATTTTTCAGTTCCTCCAGAATGCACTAAATTCTGCACAACTCATTGAAAAGTGACTGTGGAACTGATGAATATCTGATGCCTGGTAGTAACTTGTTTCCGCACAATTCCAGGACATTAGCTTATTGCCAGTGGGTGGACAATCTCAATGAGACCCGGAAGATGCTCTCTCTTAGTGGTGGTGGTCCCTTCAGTAACCTGCTGAGGTGGGTCGTGTGCCACATAACGAAAGGAATCGTGAAGCGCGAGATGCATGGCCACGGCATTGGCCGCTTCTCAGAGGACGAGATTTACATGCTGATGGAGAAGGACATGCGGTCTTTAGCAGGGCTTTTGGGTAATGTACCACGCCTTCTATTCTGTATTTTATATATATCCTTACTTTCTGCATGATTAGTAAAACACTGCTAATTAACTTGGTTTCTTTGCTTCTGCATGTAGGTTGCAGTTCCACCATTTAACCAAGTCCCCTAATCTTTAGGATTGTGTTCGGTGTGATCACTGCTGTCTGTGATTAGTTTTGTGAGGTCCCATGCTTTAGATCACTATCTAAGTGATCTAAATGATGCTGGCATTTCTGAATGTGCTGTGAGAAAAAGGTGATTTTGAGCAAGGATGTTCTTCCATATATAATAAGTCAGGTTAAAAGGCTGCTTGTGAACATACCTGCTCAGAAGTTTGATTGTGTGTTGGTCAACAGCAAGTAAAATTTGAGAGTCATGATGATAGCACTGGTTCTGACATGTTCTGTGTACATATGCAACCTTTGTCATTTTCTCATCCCTTCCATTTCTGTATGTATCCTTAGTCCTCTTCTTAGTAACATGTTTCCACCCTGATTTTATATTTATTTCACACAATGGGCTTATCTGTATCAGGGAAGCCCTCACAGAGAGGTAGAGCTTGTCCATGGGTTTGTGAGGGTGGATGCACTCTTGCTCACCTGGCTAGCTGCTGGTGGCTGGGCTGTTGTGGTTCTGCACTGGGCAGAGCTGGATTCTTGGCTATGACAGTTCGTGAAGAGATCATTTGAATTCAAGACCTTCTACGTGTGAAACAATGTTTTCTAACGGGTACAACTAATGTACAGAAACCCAGTCAATCCTTTGGTGGGGGGAGCTGCTGATTTTGTTTGAAGAAAGTAGGTTTTTTTACTAGTCCTCCTTTGACAGCAGTACTTTCCAGGTTCATCCTCATCCTCATTCTGGAGCCTGTTAGATATCTCACCTCCATTAGGCTGTGAGAGTGTAATAATTTGTTTCATGAAACCTGATGCCCTAGGTGCTGGAGTCTGTGCTAGCTACAACCTGTCCCTTGCAGAGTGACCTGCTCTGACTGCTCATACCACTACACACTCCAGACACTTGCTAGACCTGGAGTCCTCCCTTCAGCCCCAGACTATCAGTCTCAGATCCTGTGACCATATCCATCTCTTGGCCAGGTTTGCTCTGATGGCTGTCATCTGTGAGGGTTGATGCTGGCTGGACTCCTCCAAAAACTGTGTGTGGCTTGAAGACTAACCACCTTCTAGACCTTCTGTTGTTTTGTTTTACTGAGAACAGGTGGACCTGCTTGATGTAGATATGAATGGAATTAGCTTCCAGCATGCTTGTTCCTTTGGAAACAATACTGAACAGTGGCTCTGTTTCTGACATCCTCTTCTGCCTAGCTGGCTCATGCTGTTGGGAGCCTCAGCAAGCACAGGGTTGAGTTATAGCACAGATTGTGCCTATAAAGTGCTGCTCACCCTTAACATTTTAACAGTGTTGCTTTCTTAACCAGACAGGGGTGATTATCGTCCTTCTGGGGTATTTCTGGTCGAGAGAATCAAGGAACAGGGTGATAGCAATAGCAGTGATAACTGACAATATTTCTCTAGCGTTTAATGAATTAAATAATGATTTCTCCATGATTTCTAGGAGATGGTAATGATAGTGAGGCTGTCTACCTGGCAAGTATAGTAGTCCCTCCATCCATGGTTCTTTTGCTCTAGTTTCAGATACCTATCGCCAACTATGGTCTGAATACTAAGTGAGAAATCCTATTTAACAGGTACCATGTCACAGTGTTAAGTTGCGTGCTGTTCTGAGTAACATCGTAAAGTCTCTTTCCTGCTTGGCCCAGCCAAGCAGGATATGCCATCTTTGTCTGGCATATCCGTGCTGCATACACTGCCCATTAGTCACTTACTAGCCCTCTTTGCTATCAGATCAACTGTCATAAGGTATCATAGCACTTTCATTGAAATAACCCTTATTTTACTTACTAATGGTCCCAAGGTACAAAAGTAGTGATGGTGGCAAATTGGATATGCCAAAATGAAGCTGTAAAGTGTTTCCCTTAAGTGAAAGGGTGAAAGTTCTCAACTTAATATGAAAAACTAAAAAAATCCCATGCTGCATTTGCTGAGATCTATAGTAGTTTATTATTGTTAATCTCTGACTGTGTCTAATTTATAAATTAAACACATTACCATAGGTATGTAGGAATAGGAAAAAAGTATATAGCCTATGTACAGTTTGGTACCATCCGTGGTTTTAGGCATCTTCTAGGGGTCTTGGAATGTATCCATCAAGGATGAGGGGAAACATCTGTTCCTGTATCACAGGGTGAGGACTAGATGAGATAACATGCAAAGTACTCACTACAGGTTCTGGCTGTTAAAAAGTGCTAAATAAATATTGGCTATTATCATGATCACTTTCACAGATTTTGTATGTAATATAACTTCATTAGAAATATTATTTTCTAATAGTGTTTAGGAAAATTTGCTGGTTGGGCTTTAAACGAGTGATTGATTTATCTTGTTAAATGTTTCATAGACCTTACATGATATGGTACACTCTTAATTATGCATTCTTCCATTTCCACATCTTAACCCAAGACACTATACTGACTGACTGATAGCCTAAGAAAGAACATTTGCTGCCTATTTCTTCCCTCTCCCACTTTCTTTGTGGTAAATTATGCAAAGATAATGCAGTTTCATATTACTCTGAATGAAGTAAAAACACAGCTTAACTTTGTAGCCAGACAAATGGTGATTAAGAATATTTTAAGCTAGATGTGGTGGCACATGCAGGATGATTGAGAGTTCCAGGACCATCCTGGGCTACAAATGAGACCCTGTTTTAAAAAAAAAAAAAAACAAATTCAGCCACATGTGGGTAGTGGCTTATAACCTATAGCCCCAGCTATGAAGGAGGCTGAGGCAGGAGGAGCTTGAGCCCACAAATTTGAGACAAACCTGGGCGACAGAGTGAAATACCCTTTGTGGGGGGAAAGACTATTTCAAAGTTCCAAATTTATTGAAATTATTTTATGAGAAATCATAAATGTAATTCATTAGTAGAATGTGCTTGATTTGGGCTTACTTAGAGGAAAAGTGTTCAAGTTGAAGTCGTTTAAGCTTATTTTAATCAGCTTTGAGGCAATAAGCTACTAGCTAATAAAAACGGAGATACTTTCATAAAAGCTAACTCTTGATAGCATTTCTTTCTCTAAAAATGAGAGAACATTATGTCAAGATTTGTACTCTCAGATAATTTGCATGAATACATTTTTAAGTCCCTGACTTTTGCAGAATTCCCTGTCAAATTCTCACTGACTTATATGAGAAAAGCTATCTTTTGCTTGAATTCTGATGGAATTTAACTCCTTTCAAGGGATATGAAAAATTCATTGAAAAGAATAATGCGTGTAAATTTCAAAGGTTCTCAAGTGTCTGGACTGAAGGCATTGTTCTCATTATGGCCAGATAAATGGGAGAATTCTGTACATGAATCATGCTATATATTAAATCAGGACATCACTTAAGTATTAATGTTGTGTGTACAGATTGTTTTAGAATCTTTTTTGCCTAAATAAATGTTATAAATTTAAAAAAAAGAAATATTATTTTCTGGGAAAAATGCCTTTGTAACAAAAATCTTTTTTTCTGATTTTCAAATTTATTAATTATAGGAGTTTGGGAAGGTTCAGAAAAGCATAGAGAAGAGAAATAATTCATAGTAATTTTATAACCTATTGTGAACTACAGTTACCATCTTGGTGTATAACTTTCTCTTATGCACAATTTTGAATCATATGTATACATATATATTTGTATATATATTATTTTCCATTTCTTCTATTTTTCCATTATTAAGTGTTCTCTACCCATGTGACTCTATATCCCTGGCATCATACTTGATGCCAGAAAAACTGATACAAGACTTATCAGACAAAATACCACTTTGCCTTCTGCCTGTTTTATATTTCTGTTCTATTATTAATCTATGCATGATATTGAAACAAGCAGAAAATAAGACAGAATGAAAATAAGAATTGTATAGCTGTGTCTGTTATTAGCGAGGAGATCCCCAGCTGTGGTCATTAGGTATGAGACGAAAGTAATAGTAGAAAAAAAGAATCTAAGACAAAGTCAAATAAACCACCCATTTGACAGATGAGGAAAATGAGGCAAAAAAGGTTGAGGGATTTGCCAACAGTCACACAACCAGTGGGGTCAGGAATCAGATTCAACATCCCTATTATTTTCAGACCCAAGTACTACCCCAAAGTTCCTTATGAATTGTGCTTCAAAGTAAAGAAGTTATATTATTTCAGGATAACTTCTTTAGAACATTTACGAGTCACCAGAACATTTACTGACAAGTTAAAATGTTGTCTCCGGAGTGATATTAAAGTATACTTTAGTGGCTCCTGGAAGCTGACTGCAAAACCATTTCTGACGGCCAGGGTTGTCGCACACTTCCCTAGCAAGTGCAAGGCACTGAGTCCAATCTCCAGAACTGTTTTCAATTATATCTGGAGTATTTCCATTGGTCTAGAGTTCCTGAGTTTTGTAAGTTGAAGTCGTACCCTTCGTTAGGAGACCTGCTCCCCAGCCTTAGGCTGAAGCACATAAGTAGTTTGGGAAAAGGATCTTGCTTAAGGGCCTGCTCCTGAAAGAGCCAAGTGATAATCACGATTTGTAAATGGAAGCAAGAAAAGCTGTTTTCCAGCAGGCTTCACATGACTCATAAAAAATTAATGTGCTTTTTCTTTTGGACAGTGTAAAGTGTTTTATTGAGTCAGAAAATAACTTAGGGTGTCTTTGTTTTCCAGAGTCCTTGTTGACATCAGGTTGGCACATTTGTAAGAACCTAATCTGTTGGCTATTTTACTAAACATCTATGATCTTGACTATTAAGAAAGAGCAAATGTATACAAAGTAGTGCTTCCTTTCAAAGTCACTAAAAATGAACCATTTGCTGCTTTGTGTCACTTCCTAAGCATGTGTAATTGCAAGGCACTATAGTTTTTGAGAATGATTCTCTCTCTCGTTGGCTGATC